CCTGCTGAATGGGGCTTTAGATTCAGAGGAAGGAGTCAACAAAGGCTGCTTTTCAAACTGTCAAAAGTAAAAAAAAAAAAAAAAATCACACACATTATAAAAATGATTTAGAATTCAATCCAACTGTTGTTTTGTCAGAATGTGCACAATGAGCTGCTGCCATACTTGTCTGATGAGTTTCTTCTTTTTGGCAGACTCCGGCATGTTGCTGACCTGCTGGTACAGCTCTTTGAGGGCAGACTCAGTGTAACTCTGGGTCTCACATGACCTGGAGGCACATGGGCTCCCCACAGTGTTTGCCACTGGTCTAAAGATGGGAGAGGAAGGGGCAGCTTCCCCTGTGGTGATCTGACCAACTTGGGTCACAGAAAACAGTGTGGAGTCATCCTGGAAGAGTTAGTCATAACAGACGTTCAGATTAAATCAATGCATACGACTGAAACTGTAACTTTTTTTTGCTGGCAGTAGACTTGACTACAGAGTGGAAATGTTTTCAGCTGAGTCACCACACTAAAATGATCCACGGATAACAGGCTTTTTGATTTAATAAAAGTTTTGTAACAATAGTTATATATATAAACAAGAGACAATGATTAAAATAACAGAGAGGACGGAGAGCAAAAGTGCAAGTAAAATCTTTCAGATTGGCAAATAAACATAAATTAAGTACTTGCCTTTGACTGCAGTGACTTCGACCCTGTGAAGTACAAGCGGGCGTATTCTTTGACATACACTGGGGCCTTGAATAAAAATAAACATGTTTATCAAAAATTGAGAAAAAACAATGAAAAATATGAACTTGAATAAACACAGAAGTTCTGTCTTGTCGAGTTCCAATAACAATATCATTTGATGTTGTAATTTCTGTTGGACAGAAAAAAGCAACAGAAAAGAAAAGAAACATATGACAGGAGAAGGTACAGTACACAAACAAACAACCCAATCAAAAATCCTGTTACCTTGAATAGTTTCTGTGAATGCCTGATGAGGAATGCTATGCCTTTGTTCAGTTTCTCAATGTTTCCCTGCAAATCACCTGCTGTGACCTAAAGAAGAAAAGAAAAATGTCATGCCTGAACGATGTAATAGAAACGTGAGTGTTGTAACACAGGTGGGGGATACCGTACATTTTTAGGCCATATGATGTGTGGAGCAAACATTGTGGCTAGGTTAATTGCAGACATTTTGTTTATTTGCTGATTGCGAGCGGTGTGGTACAACAAGTCCAACAGCAGCTTCAACAGGCTACGGTTGGCTGATGGGAGAATCAGGAACAGCAGCTGGAAAGCCTCAACCTGACGTTCTTTGTCAGGCAGGTTGGTCTTATCCCCTTTTTCATCAAAGAGAGTGAGCTCTAAACAAAACACAACAGAATCAACGTTGAAAGACCAGTAGTTTGTTACTTTTAATTTCTTCATCCTAAAAGTATAAAAAACATGGCCTGTCAAGTTCTCACAATTCAAAATCTTAGTTAATCAAAAGTATTTTAAACTTGAGGTGGTTCATGAAACAAAAATGTTTTCCCACTGTGTATAAGAGTAACGATAAGTGGAAAGACACTACAAACCACTTTTGCCCAAGGGTTAAAATGTCTTAAACATTTGAATCTGATTATTATTTACAAATTACTTAACACAATCAATACATTAAATTTTCATCAATGCAAAAATTAATTCTGTTTGTTCAAAATAAAACAATGTGGTAATCAGCACATACCTCCAATCTTCAGATGGGCATGGTAGTGTCTGTGAGTGAGCAGAGGCTCAGGCAGTTCTCCCAGGTACGTTTTAAGTAATGTAGCGGCATCGTTAGGGTGGAAGTCGCCTGTCTCCAGATCTATCTCTGTGCCAGCATTCAACATTTCCCTGAGGGCAGCCTGTCGTAAGCTGTTTCCTGGCACCCGGAACAGACCCTCCACATGAACATCTACATGGTGAGAAGGAACAATGGAAGAAAAAAAAAAAAATCTATGCTGTGTTTAGAAGCCAGATACACAACAACAGGACAAAGTAAGAAGGGTGAGGGGCATAATGTTTGAACTAGTGAAAGACACACAGGTTTTTTATTTTCATAAAAAGTGCAGATAAAATATAATACCAGACGCAAAGGACATGTCAACAACAGTGGTTGTGGAGGGATAAAGACATGATACTCACTTTTACTCAAGTATTCAATGAGCTGATAGATCTGTGCTATTCCTTCTTCTGTTAATGGAGCACCAAAAACCACTCCTTTGTCTGGAATGGAAACAGTTTCTACAATAAATACGATTGTGTTCTTTACATTTACTTAATTTAAAACCAAATATAAAAAAGACTCCATTGTGTACACAAAACTATTTGTTTGTACACTATGATTAACATTTAACATTGAAACTTTCATTAGAGTATTTATTTTAAAAAAACGATAAAACTGTCTCTCTGGGGTAATACATTTCTTGTCATCATCGTCATATGCATTAAACAAATCTGCACTGGTCACGAAGGGAGCATTTCAGCCTAACCTTTTCGCTTCAGGAAATTAAAGGAACGTAGAAATCCACTGGAGGAGGGAACCCTGGGCTCAGCCTCTCCTGTAAGCTGAGCAAATTCATCTCCTGGAAGATCAATGAGCCGACTGATGTTGCTAAGTAATAAATCTGCAAAGATCTGTGGGTGCTCATGTCTAAGCCGCTCCACAAAGAAGTCCGGGTTAAAAATAACCGGCTGGCTCGTGGTTAGCGTTTCCTGGCTGTTGAAAACACTGCACTTTGTTGTCCTGTTAAAGAGAAACACAGTTGATAAAAGCAAATAAAAAAAAAGAATTTAAACATTTTGATTGCAGTATGAAGGAGGAAGCTGCAGTATGACGGAGGGAACATCGACTGATCAAGATATATGTTGTGTCCAATATTAATCCCCCTTTTGTCAGTGAAGGACAACATACGGATTCCTTCAGGTGTCATTATCACAGAAAAGCTAATTATTTTTGTTTACAGTAGTAAATGCAGATGCATAAAAAACTCAATATGTAAGAACCAAATTTAAAAAATCATACTTGCGGGTCCAAACTAAAAAAAAGCCCGTCAAAATAGTTTTTAGGAGAACAGAGAGAACACATAACGTTAAATAAGCGAAGAGCTTTTGCTAAATGAGCTAAGCTAAGTGAACGAAATTTTATCTATTAACTATTACAATATCGACGTAAGTTATTGAGCGTTAATAAAAAGTTTTTTAATAAATAAATACAGTGTCGTCAATCTTCGATTACAATCGTTATCATAGAAACATTAATACCTCCTTTGGAGTTTGTGTTTGTTTTGGGGACCATTTTCAGCCGCCGCCATCTTTTTTGAATCTTCCGCTTGTGTGTCTTTTGTCCCGCCTACAGTTTTTTGATTTGTTCTGACAATTACGTCACATACGACTAGTAGTGGGAGGAGCCACTTTCTGACGGAGAAAAAACACTATTCAAAAGTTTTTAAATGAGGAATATTTTAATTTACAAAGTACAATGAATATATTGTGAACCTTTATTTTAATATATAAATATATTCATTACTTGTTTTATGCGCACATTCGTTACTTACTAGCGTAATACCTGACAATGATTACAACAGGGACAACACATAACATAACATTTTATTTGAGTTGTGCTTCAGAGATTGTCTCCAAGTTTCAAATGTTAAATTCAAAAGATAAATAAATGTTATGAATAATTGTTGGTTGTTGATTGTTCATTTTGTCTCTTAGCTTGTCGTGACAACAATGGAAATTCCTTATATTTACAAATCATATTTACTGCAAGTCACATGCAAAACACAACAATAGTTACAAAAACATCTTTAAAAATTACTAAATATCACAAACCTAGAGTAAAACACAAATACACACATATTTGTGAACACAAATGTAATTAACACAATTACCTTATTATTTTTAGGCTGTAAACAGACTATGAAACATAGTAGCTAATACGCACTTGCATTTTGATTATCATGCATTTGTTTTTAACAATTTAAAATATACAACATTAAACATAACCCTAGCAGGCAATGTAGGTATTTAACACTTAAATATTCACAGGCACTCTAGACATTTCTATTATAGCCATAAAAATAGAAATGCATTTTTAAGAAAAGAAAGACTTCAAACTGGGAACTGACAATATTAAAGCACCAAAGAGAAAGTGACAAAAGCAGTGCATAATGGAAAATATAATAGGTTTTCTGCATGGTAATGTAATCTGATAGTACAACCATGGCACTCAGGGTGTGTTGTTGTTGTTATTTGTATGAGGCACTGAAACATGGTCTTCATTTTCTTTCTGGTCCAATTGATCTCTGCCAAAATGACCAGCATTCCTCTCTCTACTAGTTGAGCTTCTATCTTCACTAGGATTTCTTTGCCAGAGCCAAGAAATGCCTCCATACATCCAGTAGCAGTGAGGCCTGAGCCTGCCCAGAGTTCTCCAGCATGCTCTGCGAAATGTCTTGGAGGAGATGCAGAAGAGCAACGGGTCCAGAGCGCCATTGATGTACCAGAGTGGAAGCGAAAAGTATGTTTTCAGGACTGTGTACCTCGAATGGACTGTGTCGGACCAGACGACTATATAAATTTGCATTAGTGATGAGGCAATATCGGGAAAGTTGAGGACGAAAAAGGCCACCAATATGGCACCTGTACAGAAAGAAAAAAGCTTGAATACAAGTATCTAACACACTCAGTATAAGCCTAATGTGGTGTTCTGTGAAGCCTATATAATTTTGTTCTTTCTCACAAACAATTTAAATGAACAAGCAAAAATTGATCAAAAATGATTCTTTTATAATTAACCCCAGCAACTTCCTAAATAATAAAAAAAAAACACTAAAATAAATCCATGTTTTTTATCTTTACCCATTAGCTTGAGTGCTCTCTTTTCATTTAGGAGTAACCTTTCCTTCTGATGCCCTCGAACATCTTGTTCTCTTTCACGGTCAAGTCCCATCAGTCCCATGTTTCTTCTTCGATGCCCATTTTTTCTCAAATAGAGCAGAATGAGAATGTAGAGGGTAAAAATGACGATCAGTGGAACCTATAATTAGAAGGAACAAGATTAGATGCAGTGTTTTGCACAGCCATGAAAACTGTAAAATGTATCACTAATGTTACCAAAAAGAAGAGTCCTGCTCTCAGGAGGAGAGCTCCGTTGTAGATGTGTGAAGGATCCGGCTCCGTCATCTCACACATGATGGAAATATGGAAAGCGTCTTCATGAGTGGTGGCCGTGTAGTCCATGATGCAAGCAGGCGCCTGGTCATAGACCAGGGCAAAGGGCACAGCTGAGACCAGAGAGATGAGCCACACCAGAAGAAGGCATGGTACCCTAAATTTCTGAATGACGTCAGAGAAGAAAAAAAACATTTTGATTTTTTTTCCGTAAAAAAAGTGAGGTATAGAGGCTAAACTTTTTTTTTTGACAACAGGAAACCCTAATATTGTGTTTTCCACTGCTAATCTTTACCTTAAGGCTAGACACAGACCACATGGTGTGGCAAATTGCTGCATAGCGTTCAGTAGTGAAGGTCATGATAACCCAGCTGGTGGTGGCGCAGTACACCTGGCGGACCATGAAGTAGACTTTGCACACTGCTTGTCCAAGACGCCATGGGTAGCTCTCCCAATAATATCTGTACACGGTCACTGGGATGGTCAAGAGCTGCAGAATGTCTGAAATCAGACAACATAGAGGGGAAGACGGTTAGATCGACGGAGACACTTTATGTATAGCCAATACTCTACTATGACTGTCACTTACTGTCAAGATATACAGCATGATCCTATTTAAAAGGAATCTAAAGCTAGAGCTACAATGTTAGACTCAACTGTGTACTCACTACAGGAACAGTTTGAAGGATAATGTAAATCTAGAGCGCTTAAATAACTCAGTGCAGTTTTGTATGACAGTTATAATTGATAACAATTAGGTTCTAATGAGTTAATGATTTTACCTGGCTTCATCCTGTTAAAGGCTGCAAACCAATGTATAATTAAACCTTCAAAGGTCTTCGCGATAGAGGTATGCAATAGAGACTACTGTATAAGGATAAATAGCCATTCACATCCCATTCACAACCCAATGTCAAAATGCATTAGTGAAAGATTGTTGTTGTTATTTATCCACCTGATCCAGCAAAATAAAGATTTCTTTCTGTCGTACTCAGAAATGTCCAATTATTTTAATTCATGATTAATCCACAGCTAACCTGATTCTCCACCGTGGAGTCATTATTGTTATGATATTTGCAATTCAAAAAAAGAAAAATGACAATTAAATGAATCCTCTTTATGCTCAGGAAAATTAGTTTGTCATCTCATCTCTTTACTTTCTCTTTACCGTTACCATCAAATAAAGAGAAAAAAGCTAAGAAAACATTTTGGCAGTAAACAGCAGCATCAACACTTCAAGTCTGACAATGCTAAAAACCATTTACCGGTAATCTTAAAAGATCTTCCTGTCCAGAGTGACACCTACAGAAAGCTGTCTAACATTATCATCAGCCAGTCCTTTGTATAGTGTACAATTCCTCATAATTGTGTCTCACCTGAAACAACCAGGCTGAGCAGGTAGAAACGAATGGCACTGGCCTTCATACTGATGTCCATGATGAGGGTCAGTAAACTGATGCCATTAAATAAAACCTGTGGAGGAATTCAATGTCACAATGTCCAAACCTTAATACACATAATTGGTTTATAATGAAATGCTGATAAATAAAATATAAAAAAGGGTGGTAGTCATTTAAAAGTTTGTACTCCAAATATGAAGATGAGACTGTAGAGCACGGTCATGGGAACAGCGATTGCCAGAGGCTCACTTTTGGTGACACCGATGTTGAGCTGCGGCATCTCACTGGGGCTGACGTTACAGCTGAAGAGTAAGGACATCTGCTCTGAAAGGTTCATTGTCACGCAGCTGGGTGAAGCATAATGGCAGAAATTTAGTCCAGAGAATCAGTCTTTAAATTTTACCGCACAGCAGCTTGAAAGAGGTCGACAATAAAATCTACGATCACTATAGATATACACGAAAAAACAGTGTGGGATTTCATGGAGAGGTTTTATATCATTTATTATTATTAGCCCTAACATCTCATAGTTTTGTTTTGTTTTTAATAAACGTTCATTCAGACAAAGCACATGTTATAACAAAAATGTATATTTTAAACACAAAAGCTTTGAAGATCAAATAATTCCTATTAAAAATTTAAAAAAGAAAAAAAAACCTTACAAGAGATCATAGGAAACAATTCTTATCTTAGTGGAAAAATAGTCAGAGACACACTGCTGTCTGTTGTTTTTCTCTTATCTTTTTTTAAAATCTAGATTATTGATATATACAAGTGAAAATTATTCTAAGTAAAGGTGTAGATTTAAATATGCCTCCTTCTCTCCCTCACCTCTTATCAACACAGATAAACAATTGCAGTGACAGCGGATCTCTGTTAATTGCCAGCTCAGAATACAACATATATAGCAAATTTCCAAAACCCTTTTCGCCCTTTGCAGCTATTAGAAAGTCAAAACAATAAAATTAAATGGTGAACTGGATAAGGAGTGTGCGAAGACTTACCTTTAGAAGAAATATCAGAATATAATCTCAGCAATGCTCTGTGCGTCCACAACCACAGAACACCTTCTGAGTGGTCCCTCATGCTCTCTCTGTCCTACCCTCCCTCTCTCTCTCTCACGCTCGCTCTCTTATACACACAATCACTAACATACACTCTCGCTCTTGCTTTATCTTTCTGTCTCACAAACACAGTACACAATATGAATGAGATCAGTCATGCCCTTTGATGGTTATAAAATATTTTCTAAAACAAAACAGCACCATTAGCTTTACATCATGGTTCCTTTTGTTGTTGTTGTTCTTTTCTCCTTACCAGATCCAGGTCAGTCTTTATTAGGTTTCTTGTGTACCCAATCAACAAAGAGGCAGCCCTTTCATTATTTAGGGTTTATTGTTGGAGCGTGTCCTTGAATAAACCAAAGTGAGTCATAAAATGTTTTAATCAACATCGGTAATCATATTTGAGAACCAAAAAATACCAACTGCGCAATTTATTATTATTTAAATAAAACATGTAATAAAACTGAACATTAATTGCATCACATACACAACTTTTAACAGTTCATGAATCACTTCATGAATCAGATTTTTTTTTTTTTTTTAAATTCAGCAACTGAGGCGTTATCTTTCATTGTAATTTAAAGAATTAGAGGTGTGTGACATCATCTGTTGTAATCCCAGCATCCTTTGCCATGGAATAAAAAATGCCTTGTTGTTCCAATAGGTTGCTTGGTGAATCGAATTCAACAATTTTTCCAGCATCGAGCACCATTACCCTGTGGGGGAGATGAAGACAATAATTAACAGCAGCCAGAGGTGAAGTTGAAACATTTAAGTGAAGCAGAGCGAGAAAAAAAAAAAAAAAAAAAAACATAGGTGAAGCATAAGATGTGAAGAAATTCTACACAGTCCTTCAGCCCTCTTTCTGATGCATTTTAAAGCGGACTCTGAAGTCTCACAGATATTCTCATTTCTTTCACCATATTAAAGTGACAGGGCTGGAGCTCCCAGCTGCGTCCTTTTGGTTTAATACAAAGGATGAAGCCTGACTGCTGGGGAACCCAGCTCTGAAAACCCGCAATCGATTTTACTACCTGGTAAAATTTCTACAAATAAAATCCTAAAGTCCTAAAGAATTACAGTAGAAATCTAAAGTAGGGATGTCCCGAAATGTTTTTGTTTTTTTACAAACCAATGTGAGTCTGGCATTTTATTTTGTGTACTCGCCAACACCAGGTAACAATACCAATACTTTCGTATTACTAGTTTCAATAAATGTGTCTAGAAGACAATGTTCTAGGCACAGGTGTCACAGGAAATATCGGCCGGTCGATATTATCAGTTGTTTTTTGGTCTGAACTTGAACTATTAAAACAAAAGATCAATCTACTCTGACACTGACCTTGAACTGTCCATGATGCTGTGTAGACGATGGGCGATGGTGAGAACAGTACAGTACGAAAACTCTTTTCGAATAGTATTTTGAATCAGGTTGTCTGTCTCCAGGTCAACGGCTGCCGTGGCCTCATCCAGGATGAGGATCCTAGACTTCCTCAGCAGCGCTCGGGCCAGACACACCAACTGTCTCTGGCCGACACTTTAAGATTCAATATACAAGATTTTATTTGCCACATGATCATACAGTTATTTACAGTTCTATGCTGTTTTTTAAACATAATAATAAATCATTTACATTAAATGCTGTGGAAATTATAACATTTAAAATAAGTGTTAGTAAATAGAAATTAAAAAATGGAAAAATGCTAAGATTTTCTATGTTTTTCCAGCTACATTCCTTTTATCGTGTACATTTCTTGATGCAAACACTGAATCATCTGTTTTAGTTCAAAGAAAATATGTACGTATTTTTACCACCAAGAAATGACTTATTTCTTTATCCTGCGAGTGAAACCTAATTTCAAAGGCTTACCTGAGATTTTCTCCTCCTTCTGAAACCTCATACTGCAGCTTTTCCTGCAGCCCTGACACAAACTCCATCAGATGTGAGAGCTCCAGCGCTCTCCAGATATCCTCATCACTGAATCTGTCAAACGGATCCAGGTTCATCCTCAGGGTCCCGCAGAACAGAATTGGATCCTGCGATGGAGATTCAGAGGTCAGTGTACAGTTTAAGGCAAAGCATCTTGTTGTCGTTGCTGTGTCTACCTGTGGTATAATGGTGAGCCTGTGTCTCAGGTCGTGCAGACCTATCTTAGCGATATCCACACCGTCAATTAGGATTCGACCCTCGGCGGCTTCAATTATTCTAAAAAGGCAGTTGGTGAGGCTTGATTTTCCAGCTCCGGTGCGACCCACAATACCAATCTGTGCAGAGGAGGAAAACAGACAAAATAGATATAATCATGTAATCCTGGCTGGTATTTATTTTATATTTGGGGATTATTTAATCAATTACACCTGACAGACATACTTGTAAAGAAGGACTCTGTTGCAATGCGTCCCATTGGCTAACTATGTATATCTGGTAGAATCTGTGCACATATTCATGCATTTTACTGTAACATACTATGTATGCTATTTACTGACATATGTCTGTGTAGCGTGAAACCTTCACAAACGAAATAGTTAACAGATAAAAAGATCAAGTGTGGAAAAGTTAATGAACTTGAAATTGCAGCTTTTTGTGTCATTTGTGTTTGTTGGGAATTTTCTAATGTATGTGACCTGGCTAAAAAAAAGGTTGGGAATCATGGCAATACCATGTTTTGAAACATTACCTTCTCAGAACTCTTGATTTCACAGTTGATTCCATGGAGTACCAGCTCCAAACCTGGTCTGTAGCGGACTTTGTAGTTTTCAAACTGCAGCCCTCCTTCTTTAGGCCAATTCTCAGGAGGTCGAGTTTCATTTACCCACTCAGCCTGCCAGGATACACACAGTCACACGTGCAGAGCATGTTAGTTTAAAAGAAGAGAAGAACTCCTTTTCTTCTCAGCTCAGTGAAGCACAGCCTCCCTCAGCTATATTCCGTCTTTAACTATCGTCATCACACACAAACTGCAAACCATGATGTGGGTTTACTTCTGATGCATGCTGATGATAAAGACGTCGACCGTGACTCCTGGGAAAAACACTAAATCAAACTCACCTCACTATCAATCTGTGCGTATTCATTTACTCTCTCCACAGCCACAATGTTGGTCTCCAGGTCTGAATTCATTCTCACCAGCCAGTTAAGGTTTTGTGTTATCTAAATCCAAGTAAAAAAAAATATTATATTTTAAAAGATATATTTTCTTAAATGCCAAAATTAAATTGCTATAGCCGCTGACATTCAGTGCAGCAGATATCGACAGGCCAACCAGGCCACTGTCCAGCGTATCTCTGGAAATGACGGCCAGGAGAGAAGCAAAAAACACCACTAGGTTCCCCACAAACTCCAGACGGATCGCCAACCATCTGTAAAGAAGGCACACGTGAAAACCTCGTCATTTATTGATGTAGCTTGATTGACATGATTTCTCTGTCAATATCTGACCTGTTTGACACTATCCAGGGGTAGACGCTCTTGAGATTCTC